GAGATTCCAAAAAATTCCAAAAAATTCCCGAAAATGTCAAGAAATTCCAAAAAATGGCCAAAATTTCTTGGTATCTTTTGGAATTTTTTGGAATTTCTTGGCATTTTTTGGAATGTTTTGGCATATGGTCGGTTTCTCAATAGCGAGTCACCTCCGAGTTGGTTTTAACTCCAGGGTAAACGTATCCAGTTGCAATGTTTACCCTGGAGTTATCCTTAACTCGGAGGTGACTTGCTATTGAAAAACCGGCTCTTAGAGAAATTAAGAAAAAAACGAAAATTGAAGAGCTGATAGACAAAAATTAAGACAGAGACATCAAAAAATTGACAGAGGAAATTTGAGTGGAAAGGAGAAGACGAGTAGACATATTTTTTCTGTTCTTGGCTTTTGAATCTAATTTATTTGGAAAAATTTGGAAAAAGGCGCAAATTCAACAGCCAGAAATAGACAAAAATTGAGAGAGAGAAATCGAGGAATTGATATATAAAAAAAAAACTATATTCCTGATGTAACAGTCTGACACTGCTATACCTATTATCTATTCACAATCCGATGTCCAAAGCTGAAGGTAAAATTTATCACCTTTCAGTGCTATTCGATAGGGAAAGGTGATACATTTACCTTTACCTCTGGACTACGGATTGTGAATAGGATATACATGTTTCACAAAATTATGTCAAGATATCTTTTTTCTACCACCGTGCCTAAAGTACTCAATTTACGCACTATTCAGAAGACGTAAATTTTTAGTTCACGCACTAGTGCGTAAAGTAATTCACTTCACACACTAGTGCGTAAAGTAATGTCAATGACAGATGTCGACACTGTCAATTTGGCATTATTCTGGTAAATTACTTCACGCACTAGCGCGTAAAGTGAAAATTCTACACTACGTATGACATCAGTAAATTCTAATTCCTTCAGAATCTCTCTTTCTATGCATATCAATGTTAATGAAGACAGGCGTTCCTTCTGCACTGTTGTTCTATATTTATTTTTAATTTAATAAATTTTGCGAAACATGATGCGGAAGCATAGGCGTATCCAGGGGGGGGGGCTGCCGGGCTGCAAGGGAAGTCTAGACTTTTTTCAGCGTATTTTATGTGACATGTACATTTTTTGTAAATCAGTGCTTCATCTAAATTATCTTGAATGTCTGAAATACTTCCTTCCTTAGGAAAGAAGAGGCTCCGTGAAGAAAATGTCTCCTCTTACCAAAAAAAGCGAATAAGTGGTCCGATGTGAATATTTTTGTCGCCCCGCAAAAAAGAATAGGCGCGTAACATGAGGTGAATTCTGACAAAAAGAAGCAACTTTCAAATTTTTGAATCAATCTGTTAGTCATTCTGATAACTTCGTTGACCAGTCAGAAACAACTACTCGGAGGGCAAACACCCCTACCGGCGTTGAACTACACTGATTGGTCTGAGCTTTCGTTGGCAATCAAAATTGTTAGAAAGATTTTTTCAGGTGATGACCAAGGAAGTTCAATTTTGCTTGGACAGGGAGCTTCTGATGAGTCCTAACAAGGACGAAACGCGTCAAGGATTGGCACGGGAAGCCTGAATCCACTGCTCAGTGGGTCGATTCCCAAACAGGGACCGTTCTGTCCCTGTATTCACGTGGGTCATTACCTGAAAAAATCTTTCTAACAACATTCTGATAACATCAGTATAATTTTTTTTTTCCAAAAAAAAAAAACGCTTATTTTTGAAAATAGAATGATTTAAAAATCAATTTTTTCAACTGCTGTTAAAACGCGGGATAGGAGAGGGACGTCACTTTCCCAAACATGCGAGGATGTCGAATTTCTCATTAGTAAACCATTACCAAATATAACTGACATAGAACTAGTCACAACCTATGACCTATTTTTGTCCTTTACTACTTCATAAAAAAAAGGAAGGAGAGGTATAATTGGTGAACCCTTGCTAACTAGTAAAATGATCCTAAAATATTTCGGCATTTCTACATTTATTATGCGCATGACTTTATCGACTATATCGGCTTTGGCCAATAAGAGGCAAGTGAAAATGGACTATTGCGCGCAGCGCGTTTTTTTTTTTTGGTCTCCACTTTTTGTTGACAGAGCCCCCCCCCCAAACCCAATCCTGGATATGCCAATGCGCGGAAGACTAGTGCATTTAATATTTATTGTTTGCCCACGGGTCCTTGACCAGCAGAAGCCTCAATTTCGAAAGTAGGGCCTCTTCGGGGCCCGGGGCTCCATAGCCCCGTTAGCCCCCCCTCAATCCTGGCATGCGAGTAGACCAGGAATAGACAAAAATTCAGGCAGAGAAATTGAGAAATTGATACAGGAAATTTGAGAGAAAAGGGCAAGTGAAGTGGCATATTTTTTCTGTTCCTGGCTCTTGCTTATTAAGAAAAAATTGGAAAAAGACGCAAATTCAAGAGCCAAAAAATAAGGAAGGATATTCGATAAAATTCAAGGAAAAAGTAGTAGACACGTAATTGGACATTTACTCTCTCCGTATTACATCTGTATACTTGGTACATGGTAGTTCAAAATACACAGATGTAGGTAATACGGGAATTACTCTGGAATTTTTTCTATACAGAAAAATTTGAGGAAATTCAAAATCCAAGACGTTTGGATCATATATACGAAGTTTTTTTTGTACCTACTCGAGTGCTTAACCTTAGGCAGGCCGCACATCAAAGAAACATGAAACGTGAAACATCAAACATGAAACGTAAAACATGAAACAATAAATTACGAAAAGCGAAACCGTTTCTCTCTTGCATACTAATTGAAGAAACAAGAATAATGTTTGCAAAGTCTTTTGGGGTATGGAGGGTATCACAAAATGGAAAGTGTTGACGAGCAATAATAACTGCTGTTGTGGCAACTTTTCTATTATCGTCAAAAAGCCAAAAAAATAAAGGAAACGACGTTACTGGGTACATCCATACAATAATAATGTACTTTTTACCTGTAAGACAACATTTTGGCAGGCTTTTTCTTGTGATTATCTATTCGAGAACGTCTCCATGTTATACTTATACAATTCTCCATCTTGCTCTACCACTGAAATGAACACAATACTGAATTCGGTCGTAATTAACTTTTTTATGAATGTATTAATGACCAAAAACCGTGAAACTGAAACAGAAAAATAGAACACGATCTATTTCATGAAACACGTTTCAAGTAATAAAAATGTTTCTCGCGCATGAAACAAATTTGTTTCATTGGTGGACGGACTTGTTTTTGTTTATTCTTGTTCTATTTTCATGAAACGAGTTTCACGTTTTATGTTTCATGTTTCACGTTTCATGTTTCTTTGATGTGCGGCCTCCCTTAGGAATTATTATGCACGAAAGAAACGGTTTCGCTTTTCGTAATTTATTGTTTCATGTTCGTTTCATGTTTGATGTTTCACGTTTCATGTTTCTTTGATGTGCGGCCTGCCTTAACGCACTTTTAAAAGGAACGTTCAAGCTTTTGACATTGAGCAGCTCTGAGTAACTCAACGGGTAAAAGGAATACAGTAATCAGTGTTGCCGAACCAAGAATTCTTATTACCCTTTCCAATCTCATAAAATACCCAATTTTACCCGGACACTGAAAACCAAAATCCCTAAACCATTAATGGCCGTTTCCACCAACTATTTTAGGGAAGCCTTAACAATAACTATTCCCTAAACTGACAGTGACAGTTTTCCATGGCTGCGTTCAGGAATGGCTATAGCCAAGCCAAAATTGGCATTTTGCGTTCGAGTTCGGCTCCAACCTACGTGGTTCGGCATTACAGGTGGAGGGGGAAAAGTAGGTTTTGGCATTAGCATTGCCGTCCTTGAACGTACCCCATGGAGAAATGTCAGTTTAGGGAATACTTATCGTTGAGGTTTCCCTAAAATAGTTGGTGGCCTCCATATAAATGTGTGTTATTTCTACTTGTTTCAGAGTTTAATTTGATGAATTTTAATTTATTTCAATTTTCTTTAATGTTGATGGTAGTTAAAACCAAGTTACTTGGGATATTTATCTACCAATAAAATACCTGGGCATCAGGTACAAAACGGACCCCAATAAGCTGAACCACAGCAACGCGAGAAATAAATTTTTTTATCAAAAAACCTTCTCAAACTGATAAAAACACTTCAGAAATTCACAGAAAATACAGTCTCTTATGGACCCCTACGTGTTTATTCTCATCAAATTTTACCGATAGATCCACCATTGTATGTCCGTCTTCGTCATTTTCCATTCACTGAACAAAGATAGCTAGTTTGTTATGCCGCAACGCCATCTTGAACGTCAAACATCAAATTTCAATGTGGAAAATATTATGGCGTTTCCGATTGGTAGATTCCAAGGATTCAGTGCGCACTGAGTGTATTCGCATCCTTTTAATCGACCCGTAGAAGAAAAAGACAGAAATAGAAAAAATTGCACTAGTTCCGCACTAAATTTACCAATCAGAAACGCCATTAGTTGAAATTAAAAAAAAAAAAAAGAATAGGGCTGTACCTAATTCCGGATTCCCCGATTTTGCACACATCAATATTTTACCCGATCACTAGTCGAAAATACCCGGTTTTTGGGGATTTACCCAGTCAACGGCAACACTGACAGTAATAGCAAGAAAACACCTATAATGACTGTCTATACCTACTTACGTCATTATGTAGGTACTCCCATGTTTAAAATTCAACTTTCTTACTTACTAGATGGATTGACTGGTAGCATGATTTCAACCAGGTATTTATAAATATCAATTATATTGGTAAAATTAACTATATTAAACCAAGCTACCTAATTAGATAAAACAATTATAATTTAATTATCATTAATTTGAAGAAAAAAAAATATCAGATCAGTATAGGTTCATGGATGTTTGCCAATACTATTCCCAAGCCCCTGTGGCCTAATGGATAAGGCATCTGCCTCCTAAGCAGGGGATTGTGGGTTCGAGTCCCACCAGGGGTAGAGACTTTTTTTTATTTTTTCTATATATTTTTTTCGATTTTCTTACCTGTTTGCATGATTTTTGATGTTGCCTGAATAAGTGATCAAAAATTGCTCCATATTCTTCATGTATTCGTTGCATTTCATTTATATGCTCCGCGACTTTTTCCATTCCTTTTAGAGCCTCTGAAAAATAAGAAGTATTTTTGATGATGATTTTCTTTAAAATTTTTATATTATTTTAATGTTCTGATGTAAACGAATCCAAAGCTAGCCAATGCAATTTCTATAGTTGACTTGACTTGATTGGTCATAAATGACAGAGATGGGCATCTACGCGTAAATTTGTTTTTTGCTTTGTAAAGTTAATTAAACCGCAGGTAATGTCTAATTTGATACAATATAAAGTTAATGCAATGCAAACTTTCAAAAAAAAATCACTCAAATTTCAAATTTTCCGTTGTCTACACTACAGTCTACATTGTCTACATAGTTTACATAATCTACATGGAAAAAAGTGGATGTAAACAATACATAGATAATGAGTAGAAAAACCCCGCACATCCCTGATAAATGGCGCTCTGTATCAACTCAATCGAAATGACTGGGTTTACACCGGCATCTTTTGATGAAAATCCAAAAATAAAATTTAATTTTTTTCTGACAAGGTGGTGCAAAGACGGAACGTCGAATTTGAAATTTGAAAATGCCATATTGTAGACGAGGTAATGATGAAGTGGCATTTATGGAAAAAATAAAACCTATTTTCCAAACGATGTGAAATTTGTAACACCCTGTATACAGTAAAGCAAGCAAACCACATAATTTTTCACTTACCAACTAAATGTTGATGTTCATCAGTATTCGGATCTGTCAAATTCCTAAGTTGTTGCAACAACAAAGGATATTTCAAAATTCTTTGAATCGGTTTAATCAGATATGATTCTAAGGTACAAGAATGTTGCTGTTTCGGGTTCCTGGATATAAGGAATTCTTGAAGAGCCTGGTTCCCTTCATCTAGAAAATATAACACGCAAAGTTTTTGGTCTAAAACTAAAAATATACAAAGAATTCTTACTTGGATGTAGCACTTTCTGAGCCTTACTATGACTAGCACAAAATGAGCTGTACAATTTGAAATGATTGACATAATACAAGAAGGCACTTCCAATGGAGAATAAAATATTCTGGAAAAAGTTGCGTTTTAATTTTTGAAACACGAAAAAAATTTGAAAATATCTACCTTGAAATGATGGGGATATTCGAATTTGTGAAAATCTGGTTCCAAATCTATCGCCTCTTCCAAATTTCTTAGAAATTGCCTTTGAAACGCAACGATTTCCTGGATATTGCCAAAAAGGGCGTTAATTTCTGCATTCGACATGAAAGTCTCTTTTTTCAACGGCTCCAAATAGTTTTCCAAGAGACTATTCAAATGCTACAAATAATTTGATTTTATAATTTGGTAACCAAGTTATTGATTCACTTACCTTAACATAAGTTTTTTCGGTATCGACAAGTTCCATAATAACTTTTCTGAGTTTTTCCGAGTCTGATAGTTGTCGTGAAGGTGTCGTTATAATGACTTGAGAATTAATGTTGGCGTTGGGGCATTTTCTAGTTTCTACCGGAGATCGGCAAAATCCGGTAACCTGTTCGGCACTTTTGAGCAAATTTTCTATTTCAAACGAGTTGGTTCTCGAAGACACTTTCATCAAAGAATCTGCCGTTAGGGTTTGGTTATCTGTTTCGGTCGAGTATCTATCTTTACCTAGAATAAACTTATAGATGAAAAACAAATTTTTGTCATTAAAGTTGGTCGTTACCTGGTGCTGGGACAATAAGTCCAGAAATCATTTCTTCGCTGATACCAGGAGGTTCTGTAGGTGGAGGAGGACAAACCAAACTCTCAATAATATCATCGGTGGCTCTCAACATTCCAGTGATATCAGGAGGTTCGGTCCTGGAAGACCTCATCATCATACAGAGCGACAGTTCCTCTTGCAGCACACTTTCCAAATACATCATGTCCAAATCGGAAACTATCGATCCGTTTATTACCATTATTTCGTCGCTTTTTATTATGCCATTTTGCATTGCGACGCTTTTATCTTCGACGCGGCTCACGTAGCAACACAATTCGTCTTGTCTGTCGGCGTTTTCGACTAGTTCAGCTTCGACGCTGAAGCCCCACATTTGTTCCAAAGTGCTTCTGGATAGTTCTACTTGATAGAGTATTTTGGCACATACTTCTACTATTTCGTGCGTGTGCAACTGGAATTATAAGGAAATTTATTTGAATCGATATCTCTAGCTAAAGATGTTTAGGGATAAAAATGTTTTTAGGAGCAAAAAAATTGAATGGCTGTGAAGGATTTCCGGAAAAGTATGATGAGCTTCCAACTTCTCTCTTTTCATCCAAAAATGTTCTCAATTTTCCCCTCACTAGTTTTTCAAAAAAAAAAAAAACATCAAAATATGTTTTCTCAATGTTGATATTCAAGATTTTCTCATGTTGTTGTTTTCCACTAGATTTATTTGCAATTTTAGTATGATAGACTCCCAATTTTCCTCTATTTACCCCAAAAGTTTCAAAACTTTCCCCTCACCAGATTTCAAAGAAACATCAAAATATGATGAGGTGCATTTTTTTAAATAAAATTTCTCAAACTTGATTATCAAGATTTTTCTCATGTTGTTGTTTTCTACTGGAACAATTTGCAACTTTAGTATGATGAGCACCCAACTTTCCTCTTTTCACCCTAGAAGTTTCACATTTTTCCCCTCAATAGTTTTTGTGAAAATTCTTGTGCTTTAGACATTTCAATATCTTCTAATTCATTAAAGTATTCAAAGCGTTCGAATCAAGAGCTTTAGAATCTCTGAAGGTCTTTAGATTTTTTGATATTTCCAGCTTTTAGATACTTCAATCATAGATCCTAAATATGCAGAGTATTTACAGTTCCCAGTCTAAACTCCTAAAAAGTGTTGAAAATCTCCAAAATGTCTGATTTTTTTTTAGAATCTTTAGAGTCTTCAGTTTGAATTCTTGTGCCTCAGACCTTTCAATATCTTCCAATTCATTAGAGTCTTCAAAGTGTTCGAATCAAGAGATTTAGAATCTTTGAACTCTAGATTTTTTGATATTTTCAGCTTTTAGATGCTTCAGTTATAAATCTTGAATAAGCAGAGTATTCACAGTTCCTATTCTAAACTCTTAAATAGTCAGTGGCGGCTCGTGACTATTTCAAGTGAGGAGGCTATTTTTATTTTTTTTTTGAAATTCAAAATTTGAGTTTTTTCGACAAAAAAATTCAAAGGGTGAGCCTGGGAACTTTTTCGGTACCGTGGGAAAATAAGCGCATTTTGCTGGTTTAGCTGGTTTTCACTGGTTTTGTGCTAATTTTCACTGCTTTTCACTGGTTTTATGCTGGTTTTGTATTTGTCCAATTCAGCACAAAACCTGCTAAACCAACAAACGACAGTGAAAAGCAGCAAAATCCAGCACAAAACCAGCTAAACCAGTGAAAATCAGCACAAAACTAGCACAACACTAACACAAAACCAGCTAAAAACCAGCACAAAACCAGCAAAATCCGCCGATTTTTTCATGGATCGAAAAAGTTCCAAGGGCTCAAATGACCCTATAAGTACCTAATGAGAAAATTAAGAAGCTGATCATACTGAAACTTCAAATTCATCCAGTGGAAAACAGCAAAAAGCGAAATTCATGAAAATTAATTAAATCATAAATCAAAGAAAATGCACCCCATGACATTTTTATGATTTTCTGGAGAATTACTTGGAAGAAAATTAGTTACAAGGTTAGAAGCTCATCATACTGAAATTGAAATTTATTCCAGTGGAAAAGAGCCGAAAGAGAATTCCATGAAATCAACTCCCAAAAACTATGGAATGAGGAAAATCCACCTCCTCCCATTTTGATAGTTTTCTGGAAAACCAGTAACAGGGCATTTTTGAAACTTTTTGGGTGAAAAGAGGAAAGTACGTAGGGAGTCACTTGAGCCTGGGAACTTTTTCCACACCGTGGGAAAATTGACGGATTTTGCTGGTTTAGCTGATTTTGTGCTAGTTTTCACTGGTTTTGTCCTAATTCTCACTGCTATTGACTGGTTTTATATAATTCAGCACAAAACCTGCTAGACCAGCAAACCATCTGTAAAAACCAACAAAAACCAGCACAAAATCAGCAAAATCCGCCGATTTTCTCACGAATCGAAAAAGTTCTCAGGCTCCAGTGACCCTATAGATACCTAATGAGAGAAGTAAGCGTCATACTAAAACTTCAAATTAATCCAGTGAAAAACAACAAGAAGAGAAATTCATGAAAATCAAATAAATCATAAATCAAAGAAAATGCACCCCATGACATTTTTATGACTATCTGGAGAAGTAGTGGGAAAAATATTCGTTAGAAAGTTGGAAATATCATACTGAAATTGAAATTTTTTCCAGTGGAAAAGAGCCGAAAGAGAATTCCATGAAAATCAACTTCCAAAAACTATGAAATGAGGAAAATCCACTTCCTTTCGTTTTGATAGTTTCCTGGAAAACCAATGGAAGGGCATTTTCGAAACTTTTTGGGTGAAAAGAGAAAAGCTTTTTTTTGTGCTGGTTTCCACTGGTTTTGTGATAATTTTCTCTGTTTTTCACTAGTCTTATGCTGGTTTTGTATAATTCAGCACAAAACTTGTTAAACCAACAAACAACAGTGAAAACCAGCAAAATCCAGCACAAAACCAGCTACACTCAAAAAAATCTTGATCATAATATCAATGAACTGCTTTCATAAATTACATTTTCATTGATTCAGTGAAATTTTCATTAATCCCAGGTACAGAAAACTGTAAGTATTATGATTTCATGAACAGCTATCATTAAAATAAAGAATGAAGCTTCATCAAGTTATGAATAGTCATCTACATGAATCTATGTTGAATAGTGCATCGGTTACAAGAACTAAGTTCATTGATATTATGAAATTAAACCTTGATATTAAAGAAAATTTCTTTGATGGGAGCTTCCACGGAATATTCATAATATAAATGAATATTAACATGAATAATATGAATATGGTTCATATGACCTTACTAGAAAATTATCCTTTTAAGAACGAAATTCATTGATACAATGTACGGTTCATTTAAAACAAGCAAGTATTCCTAGAAACAAAGCTGCAACCATTACATCAAGATAAATCATAAATACAATGAAACAGTTCATAGCATTAATGTAGACAGTTCCTAAGCACATGCGCAAAGGTAGCTGCAGTCGGGCAACGACATAGAAAAATATGTTGAAATAGGAATAATTACATTTCTATTTTCTGGGTGCACTGCTACGTACTTCGTTCAAGTCGGTTTTTTCGGTTTTGTGTTGTTCGAAGTGTTAAATAGAAAGTCGATTATACCTGTCGCCGGTTTTTTCTAAAGGTAAGTTGTATACCTCTATTACCTCTATAATATGTATACCTATTATGTAGGTAGGACTTGGATGCCTTGCACGGAGACGGTCTAGTCTCAAAATGGGAATGCGAAAGAAATGACCTACAGATTTAAATGTCATCCGGGGAGAACGTGAAAGACAAAAGCGTCAAGAGCTCCTCAGAATTTCTAAGGAATATTGAAGTCTCTAAAAGTAAGTATACTCAATCCCAAATCAAGTTGTAATTTTTTTAATCGATATATTTTTGTTAAATGGTTTTGTTTCACTAGGTAGAAAAGCAGAAGATTCAATACCGCAGCTAGTGTTTCATAGCCGAGGCAAGGAAACCAGCCAAAGCATCAAATCTTATTTTCTGATGTGGCTTGTTTTAGAAACTTTGGATGTTGATAGTTCAAAAACAGCTGGAACAAATATAGATATAATATATATTTATGGAAACAGGATTTAAGGAGGATTTGAAAGATAATAGAATATACGGTTAGTGTCATTTAAAATAAAAATACATAAGTAGGTACTTAGATTTTTAAATTTTCAGATTTTGGGATGCCCATTGGTTTGTTTGACAATTCTGGAAGATGATACGAAGAAACCATGCAACTTTTGCATTAAAAGCTTTTTTCCTATTGCTCATATTCATCAGTACAGGGGACACGCAAATATAAAAAATGACCCTTTACCCCATTTAAAATCATAAGTATATTTAAGGCATAATTCATGAAATTATTTTAATAAAAATAAAGAATATGGTATATATTATTGAAAACGTCATTATTAAATATAATGAATGCAATTCTTAGTATTCAAGACTGTGATTCATAAATACAATGAAAGGGTTTCATCAAATTATATCTGGGCTTCATTAATATTATGCCGTCTGTTCATCAGGACAATGAAAAAGTACATATAAACTAAGAACGATGTTTATTGTTACTATGAAAAGTTTCATTAATACAAAAACCTTACTACATACCTTAATGTTCGTTGTTCATACACAAGATGAATCGAAATAGGAATTAAGAAATTGTTCATACTTCAATAACCTAGAGTTCATGTAATCAAAGAAACCGTTCTTTGGACCGATTTTAATGAATTGTTCATTAAATCTAAGAACAACTTCTTTTTATTTATGCTACTATTTGGTTGAGTGTAAACCAGTCAAAATGAGCAAAAAACTAGCACAAAACCAGCTAAACCCGCATAAAACCAGCACAAAACCAGCCAAATCCGCCGATTTTCTCATGGATCGCAAAAGTTCCCAGGCTCAAGTGACCCTATAATGAAAATCAAATAAATCATAAATCAAAAAAAAAAATGCACCCTGCACCTCATTACATTTTTATGATTTACTGGAAAATTAGTGGGAAGAAAATTAGTTAGAAAGTTAGAAGCTCATCATACTAAAATTGAAATTTATTCCACTGGAAAAGAGCCGAAAGAGAATTCCATAGAAATCAACTTCCAAAAACTATGGAATGAGGCAAATACACTTCCTCCTATTTTGATTGTTTTCTGGAATACCAGTGGGAGGGCATTTTCAAAACTTTCTGGGTGAAAAGAGAAAAGTACGTAGGGGGTCACTTGAGCCTGGGAACTTTTTCGATACCGTGGGAAAATTGGCGGATTTTGCTGGTTTAGTTGGTTTTGTGCTAGTTTTCACTAGCCTTCGATTTTTTTTTTTAATTCTCAAAGCGTCCTAACTCGAAAACGAAAAGCTCCGGAGAAAAACTTCAAATACAAAACTTATAGATCTCGTCGAGTACTACAAAAAAGCCTATAAGAAGTATCCTGCCACAGGACACCGTTTTCGAGAAAATTGACCAGGAAAATTTTAACAAAATTACAAAGAATTTCAACTTTGACAGCTGATATCTCAAAAACGAAAACGGCCTGGAATCTCGATAAAAACATATTTTATAGGTAATTTCATTCTCTTCCAAAATAGATATAACTCGAACGATCGGTCGAGAAAAAGCGAAAAAGAAACGTCGTGTCAGATGGCCGAAATTTTTATCTGGCCAGTATCGAAATATCCTTTTTTAATTTTTTCCCGACCTTAAAATGCGTCATAGCAAGCAGGGTCCCATAAGATTTTCAACGTTTTTTTGCTTTTTGAGGCTAACTTTTTTCCGGTACATCGGAGAGAACTGAAACTTGGAATATCGACTAAAAATCACATTTTGAATATTCCCGATTTTTGATTGGCTCCAAATCATCCGCTGACCAATCGAATTATAGACTGGGGAGCCCCGTGATTGAAGTAACTCTAGCCCTTCGGGCTCGCGTATAACTCCGGCCCTTCAGGTTCGTATTACTCCGGCCCTTTAAGCTTGCGTATAGCTCCGGCTCTTCGGGCTTGTATTACTGAGTATTCCAAAATGTGGAAAGTGTAATTTGTGAATTATTATTTTAATTAGGAATCAGGAATAAAAAACTGAGATTGAATTTTCAATTTTTTGGGGAAGGCTCAGCCTCCCCTGCCTCCTCTGACGAGCCGCCACTGTAAATAGTGTTTAAAATCTTCAAAATTTTTGATTTTCTTTAGAATCTTCAGTCTTCAGTTTGAATTATTGTGCCTCAGACCTTTCAATCTTTTCCAATTCATTAGTAGAGAATTCGAAGTGTCCGAATCAAAAGCTTCAGAGTAGAGTCAAAAACCACACTCCTCTGAAATCACGTCCTTGACCTTGGCCTTGAAAAGTGACTTAGGTCCGTATTCATAGTCGTTCCTCGAGGTTTCCTTGGGGCTTTTCAGCTTAGAATGGACACTTTGTTACTATTTGATAAGTTTATTATGTCAATCCTAGACGTCCAAGGCTTCCTTAAGGTCCAAGGAAACCTCAAGGAGCGACTATGGATACGACCCCTAGTAATGTTCTGACGTCACACGACCTTGGCCTTGCTGTGCGACCTTGAGTGTGCGCAGCCTTGAGTTTGCGCGTGACCCTGAGTTATTCAGATATAATGATGGGCGGCAGGTGTTTGATCTTCAGTATGAGAATTTTTGTAGAAAGGATTCATTCGACCGCGTCGTGATAATTAAAATGGCTTTACGTTACTTAAAATCATTGGACTGGAAGTCCAGCCTTTTTTTTTGCCAAAAAATCAAAAAAGTCAAAATTTCCATGTCAGGAGGTCTAGAGAAATCTCGGAGCCCACTTTTCCCTCTTAATTTCCCGTTTTTCCAAGAGTTTTCGGCTCGGCCCTTTCATGTAGTGTTTCCCATGCAAACAAATAGAAAATCGAAATTTTCTGAATTTTGGAAAAACAAAAATTTCACTGTATAGAGGAGGTCAAAACAAGCAGAAAAGCTATTTGGCATTTTCCTATAGGACTTCTCATGAGCCTGGAAAAAAATAAAAGAGAAAATTAACAGGGATGATGAGGCTTTTCCAGCCTGACATGGTCTTATTAAATGGGCCATAACTCTGGGACACCTGGATGGTTTTTAATGAATCATGTTTCATTCGATTAAAGATTAAATTTCCCACAAAAGGGCACTAGGAGTTGTCCTAGAAGTTGAAACTCCACCTGAAATAAAGCTTAGGCAAATTTTTGAGATAATGTTAACTTTGAAGGCTCATAACTTAAAAACGGGATGATACAGCCATTCTGTGGGCAAATTAATCTTTAATCGAACGAAATATGATTCATTGAAATTGATCCAGGCGTTATGGCCCATTTAATAAGACCATGTCAGGCTGGAAAAGCCTCATCCCTGTTAATTTTCTTTTTTATTTTTTTCCGGGCTCAAGAGACGTCCTATGGAAAAATGCCAAATAGCTTTTCTGCTTGTTTTGACCTCCTCTATACAGTGAAGTTTTTTTTTTTTGCAAAATTCAGATAATTTATAGTTTTCATTGTTTGCATGGGAAACACAGAAAAGGGCCGAGACGAAAACTCTTGAAAAAACGGGAAATTAAGGAGGGAAAAGTGGGTTCCGACATTTTTCTGACGTAGTGAAAGAAAATTCCAGAAATTTTGACATTGATTTTTTGGCAAAAAAAAAAAGACTGGACTTGTCTAATGATTTTAAGTAAAGTAAGCTATTGTAATTTTCACGATGCGGTTGAATGGAACCTTTGCACAAAAATTCTCATACTGAAGATCAAACACCTCTCAGTCTCACCCATCGTTATATCTGAACAACTCAGGGTCACGCGCCAACTCAAGGCTGCGCACACTCAAGATCGTGTGACGTCAGAACATTACTAGGTCACTTTTCAAGGTCAAAGTCAGGGACGTGACGTCAGATGAGTGGCGGGTGAGACGCAATCGGGTTTCGGACCGTACTCTTCAGAATCTCTGAAGTGTTAAGATTTTTTGATACTCTCAGCTTTTAGATGCTTCAGTCATAGATCTTAATTTACCAGAGTTTTTACAGTTCCCATTCTAAACCCTTAAAGAGCGTTTAAATTCTTATATGAAAAGCTGCAATTCTTTTAATGCCATTTTCTTGACATTGAAAATCAAGATTTTCTCATATTGTTGTGTTTGACTGGATTTATTTGTTATTTTAGTATGATGAACTCCCAGCTTTTCTTTTTGCACCCCAAAAGTTTTAAAATTTTGCCCTCGCTAGTTTTTCAAGAAAGAACATCAAAATATGAAAAGGTGTAATTCATTTTCTCAAAGTTGATATTCAATATTTTCTCATTTTGTTGTTTTCCACTGGCTTTATTTGTAATTTTACTATAATGAACTCCCAACTTTCCTCTTTTCACCCCAAAAGTTTCACATTTTTGTCTTGATATATTTGTAATTTCAGTATGATGAACTCCCAACTCTCCTCTTTTTACCCCAGAAGTTTCAAATTTTTCCCGTCATTAGTTTTTCAAAAAAACATCATTCGAAAGTTTTCTCGAAGTTGCCATTCGAGATTTTCTCATGTTGTTGTTTTCTACTGGATCCGTTTGAAATTTACTACTTAAAACATTGAAACAGTGGTTCATATGCATAAAACACAAGCATATTATGCTTTTGCTTTTTCGAGATGAACATGTTCAGCTTTAATGCAGCAAAAAGAGACGGAGGTAGAGTAAAAGCATTTGCTACAGTTACTTACTAAAGTTACTTACATATGTTTCAATAAGATCACTACGATGAGGAACGAAATAATTGTGGTCTTCCATGTCCTTTCGTTTCTTTACCCGAATAAAATGTTCCGAAGGATTGAGGTTCTTTCGGGCACAGGCACTTGATAGGAACTCCTCAACGGACATCGTTTCTCGTACGAACACAGTTGTAGTCACTTGATCCGGCAACGATACTTTTATCGTTTTTTCCGATTCTTCTCGAGAGTTTATCTTAAAAATAAACATTATTAAATAATACAACAAAGATGTTACAAAACCCGCCAATATACAAGATACAAATGAACCAATTTAATAGACATTGATGTGAAAAATTACTAGAATTTTGAGCAAAAAGTAAATCTGAAGCTTAAAGATCTTCATGTGACAAAATATCTTAAGAGTTTCAGCGAATTATTCTCCTACCGTAAAAATCAATACAAGTTTCAAATAAAAAAACTCGTAAAAAAAAACATTCCATTCAAGTCTCTTTCGCTCCTGCTTTACCTGTAAAGATCTCCTACTTGACCCGCTATTCGACCTGGATAACAATGGCGGTCGTCTTTTCGTCGCCCCTCTTCCTGCAAGTAGATTGTTTAGAAGCGAAGGGCTCCTGGCACAAATAAACGCATGGAAAGAAGACACGGTAAACACTCCCAATTTGTTTAAAGTGTTTTTCGTTGCTCTTGATACGTGGGTTAATAAAGACTATAAAAAAAAATATACTGATTTTTTTTGTTTTCTGGAAGTTTACCAAAGTTTACTTTAGGGTTTGGAAGTTCTCCACTTTGAAGACTGGCCATGTAGCATCTCAATCTGAATTGTTCGCAATGCAGTCGTTCCAGGTTTTCTTCCCATTGCATCACTTGATTGCACAGTTGTTGTCTAGCGTCCATTTCCACGACTACTGTTTGCTGCATTTCGGCCATATGCTTCAGTTTGTAGTCCTAATTTGACAATGAAATGATAAAGTACAAAATTAATATCCCTTTTGCAACTTACAGTTTCAATCGCTTTTTCTAATCTGTAAATTTCTTCTTGGAGCAAGTGCAAAGTTCCAGTTTTGCCTCGGTGTCTTGCAAACGCTGCAGCGCAAGCGCTGTGAATACTGTTTACCCAGTTTTCTAGTTCAACCTTGAAAAATTGATAGGTATAAGAATTAATTTTTAGCACTTTCACTAGGAGCCTACTACGATTAGTATGCATTTTTTGAAAGCGTGTTTTTTAAAGTCAAAGGCGCATATTAATAGCAAAACTGATTGCTGAAGAAGAAACTCGATCTAAACTCCATAGAAATTGCTTATTTAAAATTACATTGCAAAAATGTAATTACTTTACACATACGATTAACAATTCAAACAAAATTTCCATGTATGTATTTACCTGACAAGGAGCTTGAAAAAGATACGCATCTCCGAAAGCCGTGCTCAAACAAAAAATGAAATCGCGTTTCGGATGTTCTGGAATTGGTTGCATTATCGCGCCGTCCACGATGATTAAATGTTTCGGTGCCGCTTCCACGCTGCGGCCTTCTCTGGATTCGCACGGATAGAACAATAGCGTGGTGCCTTTCAGGCAGACCCAGTAACCTTTCCAGCCGCGTTTACGGGCCAGTTCGATCTGGTGCTTTTTTCGTAGCAGCCATTTTTTGACACTAAGGAACCTGGAAAAGGAGAATTTTGAATGTAAAGTTTACGAAATCTATCAAAGAAATGTTCAATTGTAGGTTTTATCGCTTCAAGTCCTATTTCAATATGAGTAGTATTGTAGATAAAACTGATGATACTTAGTAATACATTTTTGTCTGATAATAGTACCTATACATGGGAGAAGAAAAGAAGAGTTGAGTTTATATTTTCCTGAAATAAAAAATGATAAATCAGCCTTGTTTCGTCCACTGCTGGACATAGGACTCTCTTAACCTAATCCATCTTGCTCGGTCTTGGGCATCTTGGATCCAATTTGTAGATATCCTCTTGATATCATCTGTCCATCGAGTCGGCGGTCTACCCCAGCTTCTGTGTGCAGCATCTCTAAGTCGCCACTCCAATATCTTCTTCGTCCACCTATCATCTGTCATTCTTGCGACGTGGCCTGCCCGGTCCCACTTTAGGTGTGTTATTCTCTCAACAGCATCTGTAGCTTTAGTTCTTCGTGGTTGTGGATTCGGTCTCGCAAAGTCACCCCCAACATAGCTCTCCATGGTTCGTTGGGTAACTCTTATTTTGTTTATCGTTTTTTTGTGTCAATGTTAATATTTCTGAGCCGTATATCAGTGCTGGGAGGATGCACTGATTGAAAACTTCACGCTTGAGGTACACTGACATGTATGATTTGAATACATGTTTCAACCGGCCGAAGGCAGTCCATGTTAGTCCTATTCTTCGGTTAAGCTCACAGGTTTTGTTGTCTCTACCGATTCGAATTTCATGTCCTAGATATTTATACGATTTTACGTGTTGGATTTCTTTTTCTTCTATTTTAAGATTACAGCTTGGGACCAGATTTGTCATAAATTGGGTTTTGGCGATGTTGATTTTTAATCCAATTTTTTGGGAAGCTGATGACAGTTTCGTGAGCATTTCATTTGCTTCATCTAGCCGGTCTGAGATCAATATGATATCATCATGGTTTAGTTATTCTCCATTTATGCTTCCTTATTGTCCAGTTCTATCTTTTTAAACATGTACGCAAGCAGAGTTGTAAAAAGTTTGGGAGAGATCGTATCCCTTTGTCGAACGCCCTTTTCAATTTTAAACTGGTTTTCATCATGCAATTGCTGTTGCGTGTTTATGTATGTATATGTGTCGCAGTAGTGAGATATAGCGGTTGTCTATGCGACAGTTGACAGGAGCTTTGAACAATGCGTCGTGGCCTACGGAATCAAACGCTTTTTCATAGTCCAAAAACGTTAGCACCAAGGGTTTGTTATATTCCACAGTTTTTTCTATTGATAACTTTATAACTTGAAGATGATCGTTTGTTCCGTACCCATCAGCCCGAAAGTCCGTTTGTTTTCTTGGCTGATATAATTTATTAGTAAGACGTGCAGTAATGATTTTGGTAAATGGTTTATATAGATTTATGAGCAAACTAATCGGTCTGTAGTTTTGCAAGTCTGTGATGCTGCCATTCTTATGCATAATAATGATGGTGGCATTGTTCCACATTTCCGGGCTTGTTGCTTCGTCAAGACATTTATCAAAAAGTTTAGTTATCACTTTGAATAACTTTTTTCCTCCTAGTTTTACAGCCTTTGCGACAACACCATCCTCGCCCAGTGCTTTGTTGTTTTTCATTTCTGAGAGTGACGTTGAGACCTCTTCTTCGCTTAGCGGTGGCATTTTATTTTCTTCTGATCCCTGATCTAATATATAGGGTATATTTTCCGGTGTTTCTCTCTGTCCTTTCTTACAATAGAGATTTGTATAGAAGTCTTCAACAATCTTTGATATTTCGTTTCTGCAGTTTGTTACTTGTCCTCTTTCATTTTCTAATTTGGTTATTTCGGTTTTTCCTGGGCTTAACTTATTTCGTAGTAACCTCGTTTTTATTTTCCTCTATGACCTTAGTGACCCATTTATTATTACATTTTGTAATGTCAGCCCTCGCAGTTTTCGTTATATTTCTATTTACTTGTTTTAACTCGTCCTTGTTTTGTGGATATTCCCCCAGTAATTTTCTCCTCTGTTTCATTAATTCTTTGGTATTTGAAGTAAATTTTTCTTCTTTTTCTGGAGGCTTCGAGCAGTATTTACTTTGGGCTATGCTGATTGATTCCACAATATTTCTATTTAGATCTTCGATTTTCCTTGAATCAGGGTCTTTCAGATTTTTATCTATTGTTTTTTGATATCTCTCAGCGTCATCTATATTGGTCCATTTCCTGTTGTTATATTTATTTATAGGTTTTCTGCGTTCGGCTCTTAGGTTTAATGACACCGTCGGTCTCACCATTCTGTGTTCACTCCCTACTGACACGCTATTTAGTAATTTAGTACCGTTACATCTGTGACTAGCGTTTTTTATCTGTAATAATAAAATCAATCTCGTTTTTAGTTATACTATCCAGACTGGTCCATGCGTCCACTTTCGATGGTCCGCCTTTTTGAAGAATGTGTTCATGACAGTCAGTTGATGGTGGAACTGAAACTGTAGCAGGAGATTTTCTCGTTCGCTCCTTTCTCCAACCCAATGGCATCCCAATGGTGTTTCCATTTCATGTTGTTTCTTTACAAGTTTGGCATTGAAGTCTCCGACTAACATGGTGAAGTACGCAGGAGAACTTGAGTAAGGTGTTCGTAGAAGTCCTCAATATCTTTATCCGAACTTTGGAATGACATTGTATCATTCATTTAATTTCAATATTACAAAGCAAACTCTGGGGCTTATACTGCTGATCTCAAGATGTATTGTGTACATGTTGCCTATTTATCAGAAGCCCGACTCGTCCTACAGAGCTGTTTTCTTCACACTTGTGGTAATACATATTTCCTGACTTCAGTAGGATTTGTTTTTCTACTCTGTTCCGGATTTCGCTTATTCCGATATTATTTGTTCAAGTTCTTCTTCTAGTTCCAACACTTTCTGGTCAGATGAAACGGTTCTCGTTTGAAAAACCACACAATTAAATAATTCCTCCTAAATAGGGTTTCATCAAGGGGATTTTCTCGTCTCGTCTCAATTATCGAGACAAAAAATCGTCTCAATGCATTTCTCGAAAAAAAATTCTCGATTCCGATTCTCGGGAACAAAAACTTAATGTTGGTATTTGGAAAATATTATGTAAGACAATTCTGCGAGGGTAACAAAAACTCTTCTATGGTGCACGTATTTATATTTTTTACCCACGAATCGATCGGCAAGAGCAGCAGTGTGTTTATTTTTCAAGGGTTTTTAGTCCTCTACTAGAATAAGAATATCTGGAAATTTCAGATTCCTTTCTATGATCCCAATTGTAAATATAATTTTTCATAGTTTCTTCTGAAATTTATCTCCACTCTATACTACACTCTTACCTTCAAAAGTGTTGCAAATTCAATGATTTTGATTTTAAATGATCGGTTGGAATGACTCTATTCTCATACTGAAGATATCGATTTACTATCCACAATTTGTACATATATTTATTTTGGAAATAACAGAAGGGATTTCAAAAAATTTCGGATATTCGACTTTCAACGCTATACCACTAAGGATTTCGATTCCCAAGGATTTTGAATGAAAATATACATAAATCGATTTGAGCAGTGAGCCATCCTTTGAGAATTTCACAATGTTTCAGTTAGATTTTAGCTCTGGGAGGGTCAAACAAGTTGTTTGACCAACTTCTGCCCAAGTTTACTTTTTGGATGGTGAAAAATCAAAGTTTTCGTTTTCCCTAGTTCAGTATTTGACATTAGGAGCGCCGAAAATAGAAATTTCACGCCTTCTAGTTTGAATGCTAGCTCTAGTAAAGCTGGGAATATAAATTTGCACAATTCCAATTTAATTGGGTTTTAGCTCCGAGAAGGTCAAACAAGCTTTTTGACCAGCTTTACCTCTTGAATGGTCAAAAAATAAAGTTATATACACTTTTTTGCGCCGATAATGGATTTTTTATACTTTTCTAGTTTAAATTTTAGCATTAGTGAAGCTGAGAATAAGAATTTCCGAGGATTATGCATAGTTTTTAGAAATTTATCTTCAAAAGTAGGTCCTTCCTTTAAAAATATTGAAATTTAAAAAATTTTCATGTTGAGATTATGACTTCAAATGATCATTTGGGACCACCCAAACTCGGTACTGTTTTCAACCGGTCTCCGAAAAGCATGCGGAACTGACAGCAGTGATAGTAGCATCACCACCAGAACCGCCCGGGGTAAGCCAACCCGCCGTAACCTTAGTAGGGGTTAGTTCTTGCAGGGTCGCGAATTACACCAGAAGGTAAAAGTCAATTATATAAGCTTCACTAAGATTTTCGCCCGGTCCTTGGACGGGTAAATCTTTTCCTGCAATAGAGGTTTCTCCCGGTACCCTGAACGGGTAGTCTCTATTGCTCTTAGAGCTTCGCCCTGTACCTTGGACGGGTAGTTCTGTATGAGAGATTTTCGCCTGGAATCTGGGAAAGGTATTTCTCTCCGAAACTTCTATAGTATCTCTAATCCGGTAAATGCACGATTCGAGAACTAACGCTTATGTAGTTTCAGGTGGTGGCCGTACATTTGCTTGGATCACCGGAGTTTGTTTTACCGCTTATTGCTATTTAACATTTGCCGTTAGCGTTAACGTTACCGGAAACTTTGGAGCTACCGGAAGGCTGACCGTTCCGTTATCGCTAACGTTAACTTTTCCGGACACGCTTTTCACCGCCCGTATGGTCACGCTTTTACCGCACGCACATAATTTTTCACTCATTTAATTATCTCTCTCTCACGCATCCCCGTTCATTCTTTCACAGAGTTAGTTAAGGGATTGCCTGTAAATATTTTCCGGTAATACAGAGTGTTATATTTATTTAAAATTTTCGACTGTAATCTATTTCTATTCACCAAACCAAGGTTTTCAGGAAATTTTACAGAACAAGCGTCTGTGACCCTGGTTTCCCCATTGTAACAAGCTACCTGGTGCACGTGGGCCCCCAACCACTTTAATCCTGAGGGTGGCGCCCGAGGCAAACCGTTAGATAAACCGACGTGCACTGAACTCGTGTTGATTACGCAACAAAAGTGTGATTTGTGGCCGAAATGTTTGAAAAAAGAGCAGCAGAAAAATTGAAAAATGAGAAATTTTCCTCCTCTCTCCTTAGCCATTTGATTCGTTTATTCACAATATTTACAATAAATCTTCAAAACTACCTTAGTCTATTCATAATAATATACAGGACTTAATTAATTAATTTTGTTACCAAAAGGCTTGCCGATGTTGTGGCACCTCTGTATATATGACTATACAGGGTGTCCCAGGAAAAACAGTCCACCCCGATTTGTAATGAAAATCTGGAAAACCGCTCGGACACGTTGATTTTTGATTTGAGAGGAAACTATTTTTCAGTTTTTTTCAGTTCTCCCTCAAATCAAAAATCGGCGAGTCCGAGCGTTTTCCCTCATTCCAAATCCAATAAATCAGGGTGGACTGTTTTCCCTGGGACACCTTGTATAGATTTGGTAGTGACTTCCAGGCTTTCTGACTCTTTACTGTGGCAAATGTTGCCATTTATAGATCAATTTACAGTTTCGATTTCTATCAGTATTTCCGTAGTTTGAGTTTTCTGTGGTCATACCATATTTGTCTTGTTATTCGTGAAGGAAAAACTTGTCGAAAAAAAAACCCCTCTCTCAGCGGGATTTTATCTCAGAAAATATAAATCCGAATGAGCTGAAATTTCCAGGGATTGTAGTCTTCTATTGGTATAAGAATCGCTGAAAATTTCAGCTTTCTATGTATAATAGAAAAAAAGTTATGACCTTCCAAAGTTTTCCAAAATCTAAATCATAAGGTACTGAGACGATGAAATTTCAATTTTTTTTTTGTCAAGATTTTGTGTCTTAATGGTCCTTTAGGATCCTCCAAATTCCATACACTACATTATTCTGAGATTTGGAGCCGAAATCTATGAAAAAAGGCACTCAGAAAATTGAAAAATTGATAAATCACCCCAAATTGCTAAACACGATTTTATTTCTGGAACTATAAGTCCAAATGAACTGACATTTTTAGGGATTGTAGTCCTCTACTGGTATAAGACTCGCTGCTAATCTCAGCTTTCTATCTATAATAGAAAAAAAATTATGACCTTTCAAATTTTTCCAAAATATAAATCATAAGGTACCTCAGTACTGAAACGATGAAATTTCAATTTTTTTTGTGGAAATTTTGTGTCCTATTTGTCCTCCGTGATCCCCTGAACTTCATAAACTAAATTACTCCGAGATTTGGAGCCGTATTCTATGAAAAATGGCACAGAGAAAAATTGAACAATTGATAAATCACACCAAATTGCTTAACACAATTTTATTTCTGCAACTATAAGTCCAAATAAGATGAAATTTTCTGAGATTGTAGTCCTCTACTTGAATAAGAAACGCTGGAAATTTCAGCTTTCTATCTATAATTGAAAAAGAGATCTTTCGAAGTTTTCCAAAATCTAAATCATAAGGTAGCTACTTCAGTACCTACTAGAACTATGAAATTTAATTTTTTTTATGTTGAGATTTTGTGCCTTAATGGTCCTTTTGAATCCTCCAAACCCCATATACTAAATTATTCTAAGATTTGGAGCCGAAATCTCTGAAAAAAGGGACTCAAAAAAATTGAAAAATTCATAAATAACCCCAAATTGCCTAATACGATTTTATTTCTGGAACTATGATTTCAAATGAATTGAAATTTTCAGGGATTGTAGTCCTCTACCGGAATAAGAATCGCTGAAAATTTCAGCTTTCTATCTATAATAGAAAAAGAGTTATGACCTTTCAAATTTTTCCAAAATCTAAATCATAAGGTAGCTAGCTCAATACAAAAACGATAAAATTTTAATTTTTTTTTTGTTGAGATTTTGTGTTTTAATGGTCCTTTGGGATCCCCCAAACTCCATACACCAAATTATTCTGAGATAGGACGCCGAAATCTATGAAAAAGGCACTAAGAAAATTGATAAATTCACCCCAAATTGCTTAACCCGATTTTATTTCTGTCCAAATGAGCTGAAATTTTCAGGGATTGTAGTCCTCTACTGGGATAAGAATCGTTGAAAATTTCAGTTTGTAGTCCTCCTATTAAAATAGGAATTTCTGAAAAATTTTATATTTCTATCCATGATACAATTGGAATTATGATTTTTTATAGTGTTTAGCTACCTTCCTTCAAAAATCTTGTAAAAATCAGAATACGTCGATTTACTGGAATAAAAGTACTGGAAACCAGAGTGAATCAATAATATTTTGATTAGGATTATTTAAAAAATCGCTTTGAAAATTCCCAAATAGAATCGTAGGAAACCATATTTACTTACTATTCTCTTGACCAGTGAAATAGAGCTACAAACAGAAAACCATTCCTGCTTTTCTATTTTTGTGTAGACTTTTCTTGAATACATACTTTCCTGAATACCAAAATAGACCTACTAGAAACCAGATAATTTTGTAAAAAATTAAACACCCCTAATTCAAATTATCAAAGCAACCAAAAAAGGGGATCATAACCGCTAAAAATTCAGGACTACGTAGAAAGAACAAAAGAAAACTTTGCATTATTTTTAACTGTTTTATAATCTTTCTGCTGCACAGCTGGAATTTGCATAATCATAATCTAAAAGTGTAGACGCTTTAAATTTTCAAAGTGCTGAAACTACGCCAAGACCGCTATGCAACTTCAACAAAATGCTTTTAAGCTCAAGTTTTTCAAAACAGTTTCAAACAATGCAATAAAATAAAACAAAAATTATTCATGTAATTCAAATTAACTGTGGTTAAATATATTCAAGTGGAATTTAAAAAACAAAAAAATTAATACTTATTAAGATATTAAAATAGGTAGGTACCTACGGCAAAGTTTAAAATTAAAAATTTAAAACCTAATAGTCAGGGGAAGCTCGTAACTAGAAAACTGTAGTAGCTTGATCGAACTTTTCTCGGCTTTAAAGTTGAGCTTCGGAAGTTGAAAATTTCAATTAGGGGTTTAGGGAGGGTTTCCTAAGGTCAACATGAATTATTTAACAGATCACTCAAGCTTGGCCACATTTAATTTCATACAATTATTTCATTCAAACAAAAACCTCAATTATAACAATAACAAACTTAAATTGAATTATTGACGAAATTATCTGCATCCTGCTGCCTGATGTTAAAGCGCACCTACTTTAATATCCATTCAAACTTCTTACATTATATATTTCAAAAGAACGCGCTCTATAAAAATGTTTTATAAACTCCTTGTTTCAATATCAGTGATAATTATTGTGAATGCTGAATCAGATCCTGAATACGAAATATGGTTGAATGGTCGTAATATTACTGCAACCTCAAACTCTTCAGAAGAAATGTGTGTGGCTGATACAATCAAAATCACCAAGAAAATGGAAGAATTGGATTTGGCCGATTTACAATGTGCTCAAGAATTAGAGACTTTAATTGCTGACAATATTGGACTTAAGTTAATAAAAAATGGTACTTTGAAGTATTTGCCAGCATCAGTGAGGAATTTAACCATAGTAAGAAATAATTTGAACAAAATTCCTGCAAATGTTTTTAACAATTCAACTATGGAAAATTTAAATTTAACTTCAAACAAAATCGTGACAATTTCTCCAGAAGCTTTTGACTACATGAAAAATTTGACTTCAATAATTTTAGATAAAAATGAGCTCGCAGTTTATAACTTGACTTTCCAAGAATGTCCAAAATTAAAATTGATTTCTATAAGATATAACTTTATCAAGCAACTGTCTGATGGTATTTTGAAACAGCTCAAACACAACGTCTTGAGCATTTATTTAAGTTTCAATAACATACAAAGTATTCATAAAAATGCTTTGGATATTAAACAATTCCACGAAGTTCACTTGGAGCACAACGAACTAGCTAATGCTCAATTGCTAATTAAACTTGTTAAAGCCGAATTTGTTGATTTGAGCGATAATAAAATCACTTGTTTACCAAAAGAGTTTATGGAAAACGGACTGAGTAAAATAAGATTGTTAAATTTAACCGACAATCCCTTGGATTGCAAATGTTTGGAAGACTTAAAAAGAAAAGTGCGTAAGAATATTGAATTTCAAAAAATGTCACCTTTAGTGCAGAATATTAATATTCTTTTGCCGAAATCTGATATGAATTGTACTAATGTTAATTCTAAAAAAGAATCTTGAAGGTATTTTTATAATGGAACTATACGAGCTTCGAGAAGTATATAATTATTATTATTATTTATAGTTTTATATATGTCTGTGTAGCATTTTTTCTAAAAAAGTTGTACTAAAAATAAATAAATAAAAATCCTTACCCGGCTTTTCTTACAGCTCCAGTACAATTGAATGAGGCAGCTGCAGTGCCAGTTTGTTTGGCCTTGTACGGAGAATTCATAACACTTTCCCCTTCATCTTCATCGGACACTGCAGTCGTCAATGACATTCGATCATCGTCCGAGATCTGGAAATCCAAAAAAAAAAGCTTCTTGCATCAAAAATTACAGATTTTATTGAATAAATAATTCATGGATTCAGCATCCAGGTGATTAAGCTCCTGAATTCTCTGGATCGATTTTACATAATTCATGCCCCGCTGGCATTGCTTCCTTGACGGGTTAATTCCGCTCGATGTTGGTACAAGCGTTTATCTATTGACCCATAATCTAACGGCCTTATATGTATTGAAATATCAAATAATTTAGAGGAAGGCATTATTAATTAATATTCTGTAAATATTTAAAAACATCTTGTGGCTTTTGCTGATTTTGGTTCTAAATCAAATTCACATTTTGTTTGTTTCTTTGATGGTTTCTTTTTGGGTTTAACTGTTTTTAGTTGATTTATGGTAATTTCTGAGGTCTTTATAGTGTAGTGATTAAGATTTTATGTTAAAATTTCATGTGGATTCAAGTGGCAACAGATCAGAGGTAAAAAGAGGATGTTAGGTGAGTGACACTGTTAGCCTGAGGTGGGCAGTTTATTAGTGTTGAAAAACAGAATTTAGACAGAATCGGTTCTGTCACTTCAGTAGAGTTCAGTGTTGCCAGAGAGCAAACATTTTTTGTACCAAAATTAAAGAAAAATTGTACCAGAGCGGGTTGTCTGGCCACTCGACCAGGGAGGACACGCTGATTCTTTCAGTGTAGCGCGCGTGCGGCCCAGAACATCTAAGGGCATCACAGACCTGTGATATTCATAATAGGTATTAAAATCAGTTGACAATGAACGGACTCATATAACTCCGGCCCTTGGGGCTCGTATTACCTCGGCCCTTCGGACTCGTAACGTAATTAAAACAACACCGGCCATTCAGGCTGGAGATTTGAAAAAAACATAATGGCAATACTGCTTATGATACAACAAACGTTAAAAAATTGACGTTTCAAAGTAGGCCTTGTTTTCTTTAAAACTCGATACAAAATGGCGTTTCTTTGTTGCCCTGTGGGCCCAAGATTGAAAACACTCACGCCCTTCGGGCTCATGATTAAAAAAAAAACGCCATTTCAATCCTAGCGTTACAGTGTTGCCAAAAGTTGAAAATTTCAATCAGCCTACAACATCATAACAATCGTTTCTTGATGTCAATTGCCACTTGTCAACGTTTTACATTTACAATTACAAATGCTCCAAAATTACCGTTAAAACGTGGCAACGTTGCTGTTGTAGGCTTCAATATGAATCACAAGGCTGTCAATTGACAAAAAAAGTCATAACAATCGTAGGTGGTCTTGAAAATTAGCTCGTCAATTGTCAAAAGTCATAATATTGTATGTAGGCTTGTCAGTTTTCAAAAAAAAAATTGAGCAATTATTCCAAGTGTTTGAACCGGGAACAATCGAAAATTTACTTTGATGATAGTTTGGCTCGACCAACTGATCATTTAAATTGTTTCCTACTTTATCTCGCTCTTTATCTTACTCATTTATAATCGCATTTGGTTTTTTACTAATGTATCCTACCTTATCTTCTTCTTTGTTTTACTCACTAAAATCTGGAAAAACATTATGTTTGAGATTGTAATTATGGCAACGTCGCTTTTGATCAAGTAGGTTTTGTAATGTAATGTCATTTGGCATTTTAGACAGTCGGCCATTTTCGAGTGTTTTTATCCAGTTTCTTCTCGAATTTTCCACGTTTCTAGGCCGGTTTCGATCGGGAAAACTGTTAATTATATGCGAACCCGAAGGGCCGGAGTTATTTCAATCACGTGGTCCAGTTTATAATTCTATTGGTCAGCGGATAATTTGGAGCCAATCAAAACCCAAGAATATTCAAAATGCGATTTTTAGCGCCCAATCAAAAAGCCGGGAATATTCAAAAACTTTAGTTTTATCAAGTTGACTTTGGAATGTTGGTTTTTTATTGGGTTTTCTTAAGATTCATACTTTTTTCAGAAAACGGGGGTTTTTGCAAACATATACTACTTTATCGTTGTCTTTGTCTTACTCACTATAATCAACAAATAAACCTTGTAATGTCATTTTCATTGAAATTAAACTAAAAACAAGTTTCAGATGCTTTATCTAGGGAATTTTAATTATTATAATCATTATTTATTAATTATTTAACAATGTTTAATTGAATTTTAAACAAAAAACTTATTTAAAATGTTATTTTTGTTTTCCGAAATGTAATGTGGCAATGTTGCTTTTAGTCGGCCATTTTGAAGTAACGTCTTGTGATTTTTTGCCAACTTTTCCTCGAATTTTCGACGAAAAAAGCGATTTAGCATACGGTTTGAGTTTTCTTCATTTTCTAGCAAAAATTTCCACTTTTAAATGTCATAATTCGCAAAATCCCATTAAAAATGCTTTTGATGTGGCAACGCCGCTTGTTTCAACTTCAATCAAGGAGGCCTTGTAATAAATATCATTTGTCATTTTTGACAGTCGGCCATTTTCATTTGACGTGTTTACATTTTTATCCAATTTTTCCTAGAATTTTCCACTTTTCTGGGCTGTTTTTGATCGGGAAAATCGATTTAAAGTACGAGGCTTTAAGTTTCCTTTATTTTGTATCAAAAATTTCGAGTTTTTCAATGGGGTAAGTAACAAAAACTTAAGTTTGATAAAGTAGACTTTGGAATGTCATTTTTCAATGGTTTTTCTTTGGATTTTCCGCTTTTCCGATCAGGAAAACCGATTTAAAATACGAGGCTTTGAGTTTTCTTTATTTTCTGCCGAAAATCTAAACCAAACACAAACTATACGTCAACCAAAAACCACAAACCGAGTGTTACATTGGTGACGCCATCTATTTACGAATCAAAAATTATTGTTATATCGAATTTGGATACAGAAATACAAGTTAATTAGAACATCGACATTAGACTAAGTAGGCAGTAGGTTAAGACTCTGAGAATTTGGAAATTATAAAAAAATTGAAAATTGTACCAAATATGCCAACGTCGTACCATCGTACTTTTTCAAAACGAATGGTACCAAACCTGGTACAATTGTACCACCTCTGGCAACACTGGCAGAGTTTAGTGCAATGATTTACAGCTACCTGACTACAATAGGTAAGAAAATTGATTCTTATCCCAGGAGATGCTGTAGAATTGTGTAATGACCCGAGAAAAATAGACCCGTACTTTACAAGGACTTAAAATACAAAAGCAGTAAGTTCAAATGTGATCAAATAATGTAAATCGAATCAAAAAGGACCCGAAATAATTAACTATATTTAAAATACGTTCAAATTTTAATAGCCAGTCATCAAATGTGAGAACATAGGCGCCGGAACCATGGGGGCAATGGGGGCCTGAGCCCCCACAGTAAATTTTCTATAGGGGCGGAGCCCTCATAGTGATTTAGGTATTGTATCTAGTGGGTAGGTAGAACATAATTGAGTTCCTAACTATTTATTTTTATATCAAATTTGTGTGTTTCATGTTTTCCTTGTTTTTGCTATACCCACATTAACAAACAGTTTGAATATTTTGTTGTGTAGTATTTAAACCTGTATTTTCAATAAGTCGTTGGATTATTATTTCCTTTCCGTTTGTTTTCATTTATTTATTTATTTATTTATTCATACTAGGTATGTTTACATTACAAGAATATATCATGATGTACCAATACACTGGCTTTTTTACCTAGTTTATCATGAAAAAATTTTCAAAAATTCGCTGAGGGCGAACCGATGGTCTTATCGAGCTGAAATAAATTTGGTACGAATCTAATGGAGTACGAGTTTTATCGAAAAAAATATACGGGGGGGCCCTTATCTGGGAAGCAAAGCCCCCTGGGGGCCACTAAATTTTTTTTTTGGCCGATTCGGATGAAATTCGTAATATAGGTGAAAGGGGTCCAGAAAAGTTGATATTTGAAGTTTCAGCCCTCTCCGACCTACCGGAGGGATTTTAGCCCCTATCGCCCCAATTTTGGAAAAGGGCGTGTAATGGTGCATACACGCCCTGCATTTACTTTTCCGAATTTTGAAAAATAAAAAATACCACCGGATAGAGGAGCCAAAAATACGTCGAAAACGTCTCCTGGTGTTTTTCGCTCCGACGCTTCGTAAGCCCGAAAAAAAATAAAAAAGATTTTGTACCAGGAAAATTTTGGAGACCCGACACGCTTATAACTTCGGTAATTTCGAACCGATTGCCTCGAATCAGGTTTTCTTCAGAAGAGCAATAAATTACCTACAAAACTGTTTTTTATCGATATTCCAGGTTGTTTGTGACTCTGAGATATAAGCCGTCAAAGTTGAATTTTCTCTGAAAATGTATTGAAAGTTTTGAAGTCGATTTTCTCAAAAATGATGCCTCGTGGAGGAGTAACTCTAATAAGCTTTTTTGTTAGTAAATAAATCGAATTGAGAAAGAAGTAAACCTCTCAGTTCTTATGTGCGTGCTCTAGCTATTTGAAGTAAATAATAATTATAATAAATTAATGACTTTAAGGGCGATATTTAAACGTAAGTACTCTAGTGACATGTTTATTTTGACTTTATCAATGATTAAAATGACTATGAAGTAAGTGAATTGACAATGGGACTTCGCAAATATGTTATTAAATTGAGTGAACTTTTGAATACTTTTTTTTATTTTGTTGAGTATAAATGTTGAATATAAATAATTCTAAAATATAAAGTAGCGACTGTAATTATTTTTTACTCATAGCAAATAATTACTTTACATAGTAAGTAAAACTGCAGCTCAAAGTGTCTATTTTAAAAGCCAATTTTTCTTTGAAAGGAATTTTTCGCTTCAACGGAGTAATTGGGGCTAAATTGGGGCCAAATCGAGTCAAACGTCATCACCATCGGTCTTTGTAATTTCGCAGAGCAGAGCGGGCAAATTATTTTTTCCTACTTGATTCGTCCATTTCAACGAGTTTATTTTACTCTAAAAAACTTCCTTTATGTCAAGGTATAAAATATTCATTCAAGATGGCACTCAACTGAACTGAATGATTTACAATATACCATACCATACTATTAAATTAAGATGAC